TGCAATTGCCAAAACCCCAGCTTCACAAAATATGATATCAAGAGAAATGTAGCACAATCAAATATTGAACCTTGAGCTGGCTTCAGTGAATGATGACTATCACATTGTTACCTCAAATATTAAAATGATCTGCAAGGCACGGTGGCACACACTTATAATCCCAACAGCTTCGAAGGCTGAGGCAGGAGGATCACAAGTTTAAAACCAGTGAGGCCCTAAACAACTCAGTGACACCCTGTCTCTAAATAAATACTTTAAAAAGGTGGGCGGGGCTGGGGATATGTCTCAGTGGTTGAAAGTCCCTGGGCTCAATCCCCAGTACCAAAAAAAAAAAAAAAAAAGTTGAAAAGATGCGAAAGCACCTCTTTGTCTTTGCCTTAGTAACTGGGTCTAGGTAGCTCTGGATAAAATATAAGAACTTCAGACCTAGAAACTCTTTACCATGGAGCTAGAGCCCTTAGCCTGAGCTTTCTTGGCACTCCATGCGCTATCCTTGCCCTTCACATACTGCATTATAAGAACCTGCTCTGTGTGTCTTTCTTCTTCTATGAGCAAGACCCAGGCTCTCCTCTTTCTATACCATATGACAACCCAGGGCCTGGCTGGTGTCCAATGACAGGAACTCAAACAACAGGAGGGCCAGAGCCATTGTGGAATACCAGAGAACTAGTGTGGCTCAGAGGGACTCATCCTTCTAGAGAGTTAAACAGGTGATTCCTGTCAAGCTCAAAATCTGTAGTTCCAGCAGAGAAGGAGAATCTGCTGGACCTGGAAGTAGCACCAGCCTGACTCAACCAATGAACCAGTGGCTCTTGTCCCTGAAGGGTGCCAACCAGTCAGAGTACAACACTCAACACACTCATGGTTTGGTTTTAGGTTTTCATCTGGTTTCTGGCAAGAATTTCTTAAGAGTAAATGATAAAAGGATGGGGGAAAAAAGAAGGAAAAAGGGAAGGAAAGAAAATATAGAGGAAGGGAGGGTGGGGAAGGAGAAGGATTGGAGGAAAGGATGCTATATACCTCAGGCAAACTCAGGAGAAAGGGATCTGTCCTTTGCAGGCTGTGTTCAAAGGCACAAGAGTATCTCTGTGACCCTGGGACCAGACCTACCTCCTGACCTAAGATCATTGGAGCTGAGAGATCATAGTGGGAGGAATCCCAGCAAAGCCAACAGGCCATCTATGGATGCCACTGGTTCCTCCCTTTTTGGCTAATTTCTTGACAGTTACTTCCCTGATTTCTTGGCTAGCCATTGTTTTTGTCTTATTTGTGCTGTTCTTCCCCATTCCTGGTAGACATGAGAATTTGCATTAATTTTTTCACAGTCTGCTATAAATGAACCCTAGGCATAACTGAGAAAGTTAAGACCAGGATCCGAAGTCAAATTTATGTTTGTATGTGATAGAACTTCCATGAATCACACGGCTCACTGATTTTAACCAAGAAGATCCCATTGAAATTGTTCATTACTATAATCCCTTGCTGTAATCCAATAGCAGAGCTACTGGTATCTCAGTTTAAAGAGATGTCCGTCTAGCCGGATACAGTGACATATGCCTTTAATCCTAGTGACTAGAGAGTCAGAGGCAGAAGAATTGCAAGTTTTGCAATTAAGTTGCCTGGCAATTTACCAAGACCCTGTCTCAAAAAAATAAATAAATAAATAAGTGCTGGGGATAGCCAGGTGTGGTGGTGTATGACTGAAATCCCAGTGGTTTGGGAGGATGAGGCTAGAGGATCGCAAGTTCAAAGCCAGTATCAGCACCTAGAGAGTCCCTGAGCAACTAGCAAGATATTTGATTTTGAGATGGGAAGAAGAAATCAAATAGATTTCTTCTTCCCATCTCAAAATAAAAAATAAAAAATGGGCTGGGAATGGGGCTCAGTGGTTGAACGCCCCTGGGTTCAATGCACAGTACTAAAAGAGAGAGACAGAGAGAGTCTTTTATTTGCTTAAGGTCTCAAAAAGTCTCTGAAATGAATCCTCAGCCAACTTCTGAGTCACTCAGAGAGTAGCAGATGTTCTGGCTCGGCCTGGGGTTCGGGGTCCACCCCACACACTCCCACTTCTCCCAGCATGGCCCCAGTGGATGGCCGTGGAGCTGGTGCTCTATGGCAACAGTCTCTTCAGCTGGGTGAAGAGGAGGAGACTTGTGCTACTGATTCCCGTGTTGGGCTGTTCTGTGGGCAGAGTTCTGGGAACAAACTCAACCCAAATCATTGCCAACCCGGTAGTAGGTGAAGAGGCCATAGGGTCTACCTGGGGCTTGAGAGAAAAGGAAAGTTTACCCTCCCTGCATCCTGTCTAGGAAATTTCACTCCTCTATTTCAGATCAATAACTACTTTCTAGAAATTTAAACACAGAAACACACACAGAAACATTCAAGCATATTACTTTCAGAAAGTTCTTTCTGGTAACTAACTTGAACCCTTTGTCCTGTAGCCAGCACTGATTTTATTTTGGCTGATCCTTACTAGAATGGGTGCGTCAGATAAGATAACCCTCCACAAAATTAAGGCCCTTTCAGACTTGTCTTCTTTAGAAAGAATTTGGATTTCCTTAACCTTTTATCACACGGCCTTATCACACCTAAACCTTTAATTATCTCTCTCAATTTTTTTCTTTGAATCCTGTCCAAAACATGTCTTTTGAGTTACAAAGATCATAACTTAATTAGATCTTTCTTTTCAAGAGGATTCTCCTAGTTCCTCAGAAAAAATAAATTAAATTTCAGTCAGATGTATTTCATTGAGGGAAGGGCGTAGGAAAAAAGAAATTGGGTGGTTTATATAAATAGCACATTGTCTGTGCCACAAATGAGTTTGGCTTTTCCCAATTGTTTTTTAAACAATGGGTCCTTTTTTTCGGTGAGTTTAATCCCTCAGAGATTCTAACCTCCAACAGATCAAGGTTGGTCTGCCTTTGTGGGTACGTGGCTTCTCTATTGACAGAAGTGAGGTCCCTGGCCTCTGTCTGGCACAGCTTGGCTGCAATGAAGCACCTTGTCAAGGCTGGGGAGTGAATGTGGGGTCACTGTGCTGCTGTTTCAAGGGACCCCAGGGTCTGTCTTGCTTTTGCATATCTTCATCTTATTGTCTTTCACGATGCTGTTCTAACTGACTGTGCAGATGTCTTTATCCTGATCTCTGCGTATTTGCTCAGATTTCCACAGGGAAAAGGAAAGTCTTTGAATGATTTTCAGATGTGGAGCGGAGCAGCAGAGCCTGGCCTTCACCCAGCTGTCTCTTAACCAGGCTGCTTTACAGCACGTTTCTTCACTTCTTTCCACCTGAGTTTTCCCTTGTGTAAAATAAAGAAGTTGGACTCATAGATGATCTCTGAGGTCACTTCCCACCTGACCCGGAGGTTATCACAGCCTCCATCATTCTAATTGCTCCATAGAGAGGTATGAAAAGGAAGGAGGATTGATTGAGTTCTGGAGCCAACTGGGGAAGGGAGGCTCAGAAGGAGTGTCAGTTTAATTTGGATTCACTCCCTGCTGTCTCCCTCCCGAGGACCCTGGATCAGTACAGTGTAAAGGGGAAAGAATGATGTTTATTGCTCATGTATAGTGTGTGGTCACTCTAAGGCTCCTCATCCACTATCTTGTTTCAACTTTCCATCTCACCATAGAGTAGAGGTACTAGGTGTCTTCCATCATCACAACCAGCAAGTAATACTACCCACCCCCACTCAGATGAGTCTACATCCTTCAGATCTCATTTGAAATGCCACTTCTTCAAAGCCACCTTCCTCAACGAGAGATGAGGCAAGAACTCCCCATGGCTCTCTGTGCTTCACCCCCATTGCATTTACCACCTGAGTGATTAAACAATTAACCATACAATGAATGTCTCAACCATACTCAACTGAAATCTTCATGAGTGTAGAGACCACACTGTTCCTTGTTGTATTCCCAGTGCCCAATAAGGTCCCAACAAAAACAGTTGATGCTCTAGATAATGAGTAAATGCAAGTATGAATGTATGCATGAATGAAAGGATGGAGGGAGAGCAAAGCTGGATCTGAACCCCACTATCTGAACCCCAACCCCAATACCTGACTCCTGTGGATGTGTCTAAAATTTCAAAAGACTCTACTTAAAACCTTGTGCACAAGTGTTCACTGTTAAGCCATCCTGTGACTACTAACCCACCAGTAGTGAGGCTTTCGGTTCTTCCTCCCAATGGGGGAATATCAGCATGGCTCTGTCCATGCCCTTTCCCAGTACTGCTGTTTCCAAAAATGTCTGTAAAATAGTTAGAGGAGATGGATCAGGCTCTTGGTGGTGGGAGAGGGGTGAAAGGAGCTAATGACTCTCCAAACCCAATTGTCTTGGTGGGCATTTAGCCCCATGTCACTACCCTACCCCACCCCCATACTAGGGATCAATCCCAGCTCCCCTGGGATTAATCCTACAGAGCTATATTCCCTGCCCCTTTTTTAAAAAAAATTAATTATAAGACAAGGTCTCACTGAGTTGCTGAAGCTGCTCTCAAACTTGTGATCCTCCTGCCTCAGCCTCTCAAGTAGCTGGGATTAGAGGCGTGGGCCACCAAGCCTGGTATTGCCTGATGTTTGCATAACCTTCTAACCCATTCTGCCAATGGGCTGCAAACAAGAATCTGCTCTGTAGGGGATCTGGGTCAGTAAAAAATGAGTGGGTGAAAAGGGAGGAGGAAAAACCAAGACATGACAACTTTTAGGAAGCAAAAATAAAACTCTAATGTGGAGACTGCTGAAAATAGACTGCTTGGGTGTCAGGCAGCATGCAAATCCAATGCTAATTACATGGAAATCAGTGACAAGTCCTAACTTCCATGTGCCTTGATGTGACCCTTGGGGAAAACCTGCTGCAGGTGTCTGCTGCACACCACTGAGGATGGAGTGGGACGTGGGCTTTGATGTGGCCTCCTTCATCTGTTCTTGTCGCTGTGCTGAGGAAAGCTGAGAGGTTGCTAAAAATACTAACAATAGATATTTGATTTCTTCTTCCAGACAAAAAGCCTTGGCATCCACGGGAGGAAGAAGTGTTCAAGCAGCATGTGACTGGTTGGTATGAAATAAATAAATTGAGAAAATAGCGTATAATTAACTCTGAGTGTGTGTGGATGAGTGGGGACATGCAGGCTTTCTCCAAAAGACCCTTCCAGGGGGAATGAACCAGAAGGCTGTGAGACAAGCCCACTTATCAAGTCAATTGCCTCCACTACCCTGGCCTCAGAGTGTGATTCTCCTTGGACTGGTTAAAGACATTCACAGTCTTTCCAGGATAGACCCTCCCACAATATCTGCTCTCCTCCAGCCACTTAAAGATTCACTTTTGGGAGCTGGGGCTGTAGCTCAGTGGTAAAGCATTTGCCTCACCTGTGTGAGGCACCAGGTTCGATCATCAGCACCACATAAAAATAAAAATAAATAAAGATACCGTGTGTTCATCTAACTAAATATATATATATTTAAAACAAGATTCACTTTTGGTGTGTAGATATGATTCTGGGCAAATCAATTTAGAAAAATATTCTTATCTTAAAGGATATCACTACCCAGGGAAGATCCTACAAAGTGACCCTCCTGGGAGCTTCCTTGCTCCTGGGAGTCACTGTGGGCTCAATCAGAGACTAAGGGACAGGATGTGTTGGAATGGTACTGGTGGATGGGGAAGGATTTGGAGTTAATGGGAGAAAGCTTCCTGGAGAGCAGCTTTAGGGTTTTTTAAGGGAGTTGTGGGATGACAAGCAGGAGAGCAGAAGTTGATGCATCTGAGAGTTGGTTAGTGAGATTCGAGAGGTGTTTTTTTACAGCACAAATGAAAACCCTTCTCCATGCGGTGCCCAGGGAGCGGAGCTTGTAGAGGGGGGATCTGTCTCAGCTCTTTCTTCCCTTCCATTATTCTCCACTGAGGCCTCCTTGGCTCTCTTCTCTCTTCCAGGTTGTTCTCCCATGTCGGTGACCCCTTCCTGGATGACCCCCTGCCCCGGGAGTACGTCCTCTACCTCCGCCCCACCGGTCCCTTAGCGCAGAAGCTTTCTGACTTCTGGCAGCAGTCGAAGCAGATCTGTGGGAAGAACAAGGCACACAACATCTTTCCCCACATTACCCTCTGCCAGTTCTTTATGGTAAGCTGCCCCTCCTCTCCAGGGGAGCCTGGCTTCCAGTTTCCCAGCCAGCCCCTGGGGACCCAGAGTAAAAGTGGGAGCTGCTCAGGAAGATTGGAAATGGTCCTGGGCTCCTGGGCTGGGTGGAGCTCCCAGGGGTCAGCAGGGCCCATCTCTCTGCCCTTATGTCTGCTGAGGCCCAGGAGCACCCCGGGTTTGGAGTGGCTCCTCAAGACCCTAGGAATAAGCCTGAACCTCTGTGGGTGACACACTGGCCTGGCAGCTGGAACAGAGCCACTGACACGGTTCCGTTCTTGCTCCTTGTCAACCCTCTACCTCCTATGACAAAGAAACAGAGCAGGGAACAAGAAGTGTCATCCACAGACCAGAAAATGTATTTCAGCCTCGTGGGCACTGTCCATGGGGTTTTCTCACTACATCTTTCTAGAGAAATCAAAGATGGCTTTCACCTGCCAGCTTACCTAATCCATAATCCTATCAGAAAGCTTATTTAATGATACATTAAATCCCCATCACTATGATACATTCAGTATGTGTATCTACTTTGGTTTTCCATGGCAATGGAGAAAGAACAGTTAATTTATCCACATATATTCAAGACAAAGCATAACAGGAGCACTTTTTAAAAAAAAATATATATATATATATATATATATATTTTTTAGTTATAGGTGGACACAATACCTTTATTTTATTTTTATGTGGTGCTGAGGATTGAACCCAGTGCCTCATGCATGCGAGCGCTCTACCTCTGAGCCGAACCCCAGCCCAGAACAGGAGCACTTTAAGACAATTTTTTAAAAATATATTTTCCTTTGTTTCTTCCAAATATTCTCACTCTCTTAGGTAAAAAAAAAAAATGTTCCTAACACCTTCCCTTTTACCATTTACTCTGAAAATTAAAGTGATTATCGCTTCCTCTTAGTCATCTCAGGATCTTTCTTGAAAACATTCAGAGTTGAAGAGACACTCATTCTTCCTTCCAATGCTCTGAAGAGGGTAGGAGGATGATGTCACAGCTCTCAGAGCCTCGCTCTTCTCAACTACCGTGGGGGTGGAGGGAGAGACTACTTTGATCATCTAAAAGGAATTGAAAAGGTACAGATGATACACAAGAGTACAAAATACACAAATTATCCTGGGATGCAATACTGTCTCCCATGATGTTTCTCCTGGGCTTTTTGTTGTTGTTTTGGTTTGGTTTTAGTTTTGTTTGTTTGTTTTGGTTTTTGGTTTTGAGCAAAGAAAAATGTTTTTTGTTTTGTTTTGTTTTGGTACCAGAAAACCAGGGATTAAACCTAGGGGGTCTCTACCTCTGTATCCCCAGCCCTATTTATTTATCTATTTAATTTTGGTACTGGGGATTGAACCCAGGGGCACTTAACTACTGAGCCTCATCCCCAGCCCAGTTTATTTTTTTATTTTGAGACAGGGTCTCAACTAAGTTGCTTAGGGCTTGCCAAGTTGCTGAGGCTGGCCTTGAACTTGTGATCCTCCTGCCTCAGCCTCCCAAGCCTCTGGGATTACAGGAGTATGCCACTCCACCCAACAGGAAACTTTCTTTTTAATTGACAAATAAAAGTTGTGTATATTCATGAAATATGGCATAGTGGTTTAATATATGTGTAGATTGTGGAATAGTTAAATCAAGCTAATTAATGTACGTGTTGCCTCACATACCCCATTTATTTGTGGTGAAATACTTGAAATCTACTCTCTATGTCTTTTTTTTTTCTTTTTTTCCTTGTGTTGCTGGGAATCAAAACCATGCCAGCTGAGTGCTCTATCACTGAGCTACACCCAGCTCCCAAGTCTACTCTCTTACAATTTTTGAGTATATACTACATTGTTATTAACCACATACTACACTTTTATTAACCACAGTCACAATGCTGTACAAAAGCTCTCTTGATTTTATTCCTTACATCCAAATGAAACTTAGTGTCCTTTGACCAACACTTCTCCAATCCTGATCCTTGTTTTTGCTTTCTGCTTGACCAGTCCTGCTGCATTTTGGTGGAATTGATAGTGTCCACTGCAGAGCAAGGGAAGGAGGAAACCGGTCACACGTTCCCCAGCTTAATTTTCTCAGTTGGATGATCTGTGTCCAGATAATTGGGAGCCTGATGTTCTTCTCCAGTCACACAAAAAGGAGTATAGTTAATCAGCCTCCGGTCTCTGGGGGAAAATATCCACTGATAAGTGGCAGCAGCCTCTCTGTCTCCTAGGCTCTGAGTGAAGCCTGCTTGTTTTCCCCTTCCAGTGTGAGGACAGCAAGGTAGACGCCCTGGGGGAAGCCCTGCAGACCACCGTCAGCCGCTGGAAGTGCAAGTTCTCAGCTCCCTTACCCCTGGAGCTCTATACCTCCTCCAACTTCATTGGCCTCTTTGTGAAGGAAGACAGTGCAGAGGTCCTCAAAAAGTTTGCCGCCGACTTTGCTGCAGAGGCTGCTTCCAAAACCGGTGAGCACACACAACTGCCAGCCCAGCCCTGGCCCCTGGTATTTGGAGTTGGGAAGGATAGGGATGGGAAATGATTATTAGGTTTCCATTGCTGTGACAAAAAAAAACCTGAGAAATCAACTCAAAAGGAGAAAAGATTCATTTTGGTTCATCATTTCAGAGGTTGCAGTCCATGGTTGGTTGGCTCTATTGCTTCGGGGCCTGTGGCAAGGAGAGTATCATGGCAGGGAGCATGTAGTAAAGTTGTCCATCTAATGGTGGTCAGGAGGCAGAGGGAGAGAAGGACCAGGTTCCCTCTATCTCCTTTAACACGTGTCCTTAATCTAAAACCCCCTACCAGGCTCCGCCTATTAAAGGTTCCACCACTTCCCAAAAGCTGGAGACCAAGCCTTCAACACATGGCCTTTGGGGTGCATTTAACATCCAAATCATGATAGTCATAGAGGAACAGGATGGAATTAGGAAGGGGAGGGCCATGCAGGAATGGGTACACATGGCAAAGCATACCCCACACCCCTTTGGTCCCTTGTAAAAATGTCTACTTCTATTGTGCTACCCCCTGGAGACACTGTCCAAAGCTTACTCCCAAACACCCAGGTTGGAGGTGCACAAGTGACTACTCAATACTGAACTAAAAATTATCCCTCTCTACTACTAACTATCCCAGTTTAGAAGTTTCTTGCTCCCAAACTCATCTCCCCTGCAGGTGTTTATCTGGATCTCACCATTTACACTGTAGCATAAGACACAGAGTGGAACCACTTCATAGTATACCATAATAAAATCCACTGAGCCAATACCCTTCAATGTCGTGAAACCCAGTAGAGCAGCTCCTACGAGCCTTAAAACTGTCCAAAAAATGTAACCTCTTTCTGCTCTTTTCATGGAAGCCCTTAGTTAAAGTCAATTGATTTCCTGTGAAAGGAATTACCTTTCAGGGATGCTCAGGATGTGTATGGACAAGACAGAGAAGTTTGCAAAGTTCTTCTGTCTGACTGCAGGTGCAGACAAGCTCTCTTAGCCAAGGAGAGCCTTTTGCAGTGGGGGATGAACAGACAACAGCTAGAGGGGACTCATAGCTCCCCCAGAATAAAATCACAGTCAGCAGGTATTTATTGGGCATGTGTGTTTATGCAATGAGAAGTGAATAAGAAGTGATTTTCCTTAGCCAAAAGCTGTAGCACATTCCTGTGATTCCAGCGGCTTGGGGGACTGAGGTAGGAGGATCAAAAGTTTGTGGTTAGCCTCAGCAACTTAGCAGGGCCCTAAACAACTTAGTGAGATCCTATTTGAAATTCTAAACATCTGGGGATATTGCTCAGCAGTAAAGCACTGGGTTCAATCCCCAGTACGTCCCCCACCCCCACAAAATAGTGGTTTTCCCTGGCCAGAGGCACAGTCAGGAAACCTGATTCAGGCCCTGTGGGATACCCAGGCATTGAGGAGAGTGAGAGGCACTGCAGAAGAATGGTTCCATCTTCAGAGAAGAGAGGAAGCTGGGAAGATTTTGATCAGGAAAATGAAGGAAGGGCCCCTCCAGGGTACAGGTGGCCAGAGGGCTGGCAAGAAGAAGGGTGACACAGGTGTGAGAAGCACAGCTGAATCTGCACGTTGAAAGCAGAACTGAGACACCAGAGCTTGCCAGCTCCCATATCCTATGGAGGACCCGGGAGGAAAAGGCCTGAGCAAGGCCACCAAGTGTCAGCCTCAACCCTGCACTAATGCCCCACTGCCACTGTTGCTTGCTGTTTATCTTCATCACCAATTTGGGCCCTCTTGCTTGGTGTTCCTCTTTACCATAAAAGCCCCAGATTGGGCTTGGACCCTGGGAAGAGTGTGGTCAGGGCTCACTGCAGGAATTCAGTACATCTCTGCTATCAGAAGCAGCTCCAAGCCCTCAAGACACTTTCTCGGGGCTCAGTGGTAAGGCATTTGGCTAGCATGAGTGAGGCCCTGGGTTCCATCCCCACCACCTCCCCGTACTTTGGTAGCAAGTCACCGTAGGCTATCCCACTTTCGCTCTGGCGTGCCTTTCTTCCCAGGGACCAGCCTTGAGTTTCTAGCTTTAATGCCTGACATTTCACACAAGCTGGATATTTCAGAGAAACAGCATAACAGGGAAGCAAATTATAACCTGTTTTTTTTTTCCCTTGACCTCAAGAAAACAGCGTTTTGTTTTGTTTCGTTTTTTATCCCACAGTGACTATTGTCAGAACCACTAAATCCCCACAAAAACCTAAACTAATGTTGTACCACAAAACCTTAATCCTTCACAAATCAGAAAAGCAAGTTTCATCCAGGCCTGTGGCAAATTCTTAGAGTGCATGTGGAATAAGAGATAGTTAAGGTCCTCACTTTTCACATGGGAATGGGGGAGCGCCAGTCCCTCTCCAAGAATCTGTTGTCACTCTCCAAGAACTTGGCCCCCTTCATGTCTCTGCCTTTGTGAGGCCTCCTGGTGGTGATTGGGGGAACTTCTTGGCCCTGCCCCAAGTGGCTGGTCCTCATCTTTTTTTTTTTTTTAATTCTAATTTGTTATATATGACAGCAGAATGCAATTTAATTCATATTACATAAATAGAGCACAGTTTTTCATGTCTCTGGTTGTACACAAAATAGGGTCACGCCATTTGTGTCTTCATACATGTACTTAGGGTAATGATGTCTGTCTCATTCCTCCGTCTTTCCTACCCCCATGCCTCCTCCCTTCCCTTTGCCCTAGCTAAAGCTCATCTATTCCTCCCACACTGCCTCTACCCATCCCCATTATGAATCACCCTCCTTATATCTAAGAAAACATTCGGCATTTGGTTTTTTGGGATTGGCTTACTTCATTTAGCATTATATTTTCCAGCTCCATCCATTTACCTCCAAATACCATGATTTTATTCTCTTTTAATGCTGAGTAATATTCCATTGTGTATGTATACCACATTTTCTTTATCTATTCATCTACTGAAGGTTATCTAGGTTGGTTCCGCAGTTTAGCTATTGTGAAGTGACCTGCTATAAATATTGATGTGGCTGTGTCCCTGTAATATACTGTTTTTAAGTCCTTTGGGTATAAACCAAGGAGTGGGATAATTGTCAAATGGTGGTTCCATTCCCAGTTCTCCATACTGCTTTCCATATTAAGAACACTAACAACAATAAGTGTTGGCAAGGATGTGGGGGGGAAAGGCACACTCATACATTGCTGGTCCTGATTTTTTAATACCTGTCTGTGGAAAGCAGGTCATCATCTTTGCCCTACAACTTGGCATTCTAGAATTGTTGGCACACCCAGATTCTTTCAGCCAGCAGATTGTCATTCTCCACTCTGGGTAGCTTAGGGAGGCTCATCAACAGGTACTGAGAACATGGATAGTACACCTAGTGGAAATACAGAGTAGACAAGAGACAAACACCCTGTCTTGTGGGGTTTACTCCGCAGAATGCCATGCAGGCTGAGCCCAGTGGTGCAAGCCTGTAACCCCAGTGGCTCAGGAGGCTGAGGCATTGATCATAAGTTCAATGCCAGCCTCAGCAGCTTAATGAGGCCCTAAACAACTTAGGGAGACCCTGTCTGTAAATGAAAGCTTTTTATAAAGAGCTGAGTATGTGGCTCAGTGGCTAAATGCCTCTGGGGTTCAATCTGAAGAAGAAGAAGGAGGAGGAGGAGGAGGAGGAGGAGGGGGAGGAGGAGGAGGAGGGGGAGGAGGAGGAGGAGGAGGAGGAGGAGGAGGAGGAGGAGAAATAATGCCATGTAGTATAACTGGAAAAGCACATAAAACCTAAAGACCCAACTTCTAGTTGTACCTTAGCCATTAATTCTCTGTGCAACTTTATCTAGCCCCTTATTTCTCCAAGTCCCTAATTTCTTCCAGTTGCATCTTCTTCATTATTCAACTTAGAAAGTAAATGACTTTCCCTCAATTAAAGCACAAAAGATAAATTAAAGCCATTCCCACATATAGGTCGGTTTGTTTTGTTTTTAGAATGTCCTAAAATGAGACATAATTTAAATCAATTGTCCTCAACCAGGGTTGATTTTGCCCCCAGGGGACACTTGGCCAAGTGTGGAGTCATTTTCAGTTGTTCCAACTAAGGTGATGATGCTGGCATCTAGTGGGTAGTTGCAATACCCTATAATATACAGGACAGCCCCCTATGGCAAATAATTATTCCACCCAAAATGCTGTTGAGAAACCCAGCATTAAACTTTAAAGGGTCCTCCTCCTTTTCCCCTCAATTCTGCACAAGTCTCACTCAGAAGCTAAGAGACTTGATCCCAAAGTGAAGGCAATACAATTGGGAGTCACAAAGCATGCTGTATATCTTTACATAACTTGTAAGGATACAAGATCCTTTTAGATCTGTTTCCTCATCAGATTGGCAAGGCTAGTAATAATCAGCTGGAATTGTGAGGAGAGGCCAGCCAAAAAGATTACCCCTCAGCCTATGCATATCTTCTACAGAAAAGCCATATATGTGGCTCCTTATCTCTTGATTAGTGGGTTGATTCAGGGTCTGTGACCTCTTTCCCCTTTATTCTGCTGTTTTGAAGGAAAGGAGAAAAACACCTTTCTTTTCACCAAGGGACTCTCTGTTATTTGGGAAGAATTTATCTGGGTATTCTTCTATGCGCTTTCTTAATTCTCCACCATTGTTAGGATCACCACATTCTCCTCACTGACCATTTTCTTCATTTTTCCAGAAGTACACGTGGAACCTCATAAGAAGCAGCTACACGTGACCCTGGCTTACCACTTCCAGGCGAGCCACCTACCCACTCTGGAGAAATTAGCCCAGAACATTGATGTCAAGCTAGGTTGCGACTGGGTAGCTACCATATTCTCTCGGGATATACGATTTGCTAACCATGAGGTAACGTCTCACTGCGGCTCCTGACGCTACTGGGTACGGGGTTGTGATCAGAACCAGGAGTGCTTGCTCCTGGTCACTTTAGGGAGAGGGATGCCTAAGGGGAACAAGAAACAATCACCTGACCAAGAGCCAGGTGGTCTAGGATTTTGTCCAGGCTCTGCAGACTCCCTGAGAGGCTTTGAGAATGCATCCCTCCCCTCTAGATCCTAAGTGGTTCATCCAGGTAACATTCACAGGGTTCTTTCTGCTCTGCCAAACTTATTGGAGGAATACAGAAGTAAAGTAGAGAAGAGATAGAAAATGTTGGGAAAGGTTTTAGTATTATATATGAATTCTTGATTTTGACAGAAGACAAAATGAACAGATGTATGCCAATATCTGTGGCATGCAAGGTACCATGGAACATGCTCGACTTTTTAAAATGGTCCTGCCCTCAAGGAGCTTTGAGTTCAGCAGGGGAAAGAAGACAGACAAATATGAAAAAAAAAAAAGAAAGTTGTGTGAGCATTCATGTGCATGGCAATGGGCAGCACAAATGGGACAGCTGATTCCTGTTGTAGACCGACAGATCCTAGTATTGCTCTTTTGAGGGGATCAGCATTGCTTTCCACTTAGGCCTGTGCCATCTTAGAAGAGTCATATTGTCCTTTATCTCCTGGAGGAGAACATGACACAAAGATTAAATGTCTGGTTCAAAGACAAGGAACAATTGAGGACCAGAGGTGACTTCAGAGCCCAGGAATTTTGACCAATAAAGATGGGCAACCCATCTAGAAAAGATACTACATACAGTACTCCCCCCATTCACCCACCATTTCACTTTCTTTGGTTTCAGTTACCTGAGATCAATTGCAGATCTGAAGTTATTAAATGAAAAATGCCAGAATTAAACAATACATTTTATATTACTCTTATGACAGCATATTGGTTTTGGTTTTGTTTTGTTTTAGTTTCTGTCACAGGGTCTTGCTGTGTTGTCCAGGCTGGTCTCAAACACCTGACCTCTTGCAATCCTTGGCCTCAATCTCCTAAATTGCAGGAGTTCAGGTGCAGGCCACCATGCCCAGCTTACAGTGTATCATTATAATTGTTCTATTTTTGATTAGTTACAAGTATTGATCTCTTACTGTTCTAAGCTATAAATTGAACTTTACTATCACTATGTTTGTATGGGAAAAAAAACATAGTTTACATAGAGTTTGGTACTATCTGGAATTTCAGGCATCCACTGGAGGTGTTGGAAATAATCTCCCATGGATAATGGAGAACTCACTCTAGTTAGATGAAATGTTTGTTTTCCAATTTAATATTTATTAAACAGTGTTTACATGTGTCTCCCAATTTTCAACAGCAAAAAGAAATGAGATTTTTGTGACTTTACATAGACTTTTAACATCTCTTTTAGGCTTTTTTTTTTTTTAACATGAAAAACAGAATGTCATGGTTGAAACCAGGCAACCTTCTTGTTTTGGGAGTTTTGGGAAGAGTCAGTCCAAGAGTCAAAACTTCAGGGCAAGGTGTGGTGGCCCATGAGTGTCAGGGACTCGCAAATCTGCCTGACTTCACTGATCGGAATGTCATGACCTCCTTTTTAATTATTTGATGCAAGTTTTTATAATGATGAATTAAGAAGACTATGTCTGATCCTCTTTAAGAATTCTGGCATCTCCTGGGATCACTTAAGATTGGCCCTAAAGATAAGGAGAAAGGTGTGGCTGATTGGAAACTTCCCAAAGACAAAAAAAAAAAATGTCAAGGGTTGTATGTGATGGCCTCTGAGAAGTCACCTTCCTGAGAGGAGAAGGTGGCAATGGAATTTTACAAGGCACATCCTCTAATCAACACTGCCCTCCAGTTAACTCAAAGGGTAATTGCTTTTCTGCCTGACCCACATTCTACCCAATTGGCATGAAAAGAAAGAGGCAGCAAGCGCCCACATGAATTATTTTTCTAAAAATAACTTGGCCTCTTTTATCTCTTATTTGTAAAAGCTCACTTATCACTGTTCCTTCTGATTAAACCCTCCTGGTCTCCTTTGACTAGACCCTCCCTCTGAAATCTTTTGGTTTTATCTGCAGACTACCTGTGCCTTTCTGCGTATGCAAAGCTCTTGCCTTCCTTCTCCTTCACTCTGTCTCCAAGAGGCAAGTTTGACTGATTGTTCCAATGAGCAAACAGATGTCTAAAGAAGGAGATCCATTTAGCAAGGACCCTTGGCAAGGCACAGTGATGCTTCAGAAAAACTGCAAGGTCTCATCGCTCTGCTGTTTTACATTTTCAGTTGATTGGCCTTACAAATGCCCATTTATACTTCACACAGATTCTTCCTCATTAGTGATGACATTGGACCACACAACTTATGTGTGCCAAGCAATAGAAATCAAGAGGAAGGACGTGATCCTATAATGCATTAATTTTGGAGCCTACCATCCCTGGCTTCAAACCTGGCTCCTTCCCTTCAGTAGCGGTTAGATTCACTTTGACAACTTACATCATCCTCCAGTCCTTGGTTTTCTCATCAGTAAAATGGTGATGATGTTTTGCTGAAATGTTGCAAGAACTGAATAAGAAGATGTATGGAAAGATCCTAAGGCAATACCTAACACAGGGCAGGTGCAACCAAAAAAACTGCTGCAGCTATTATTGTTCAAAAAAAAAAAACTCCAAAAGCAATGCCCCTTCAGTTGTTACTGTCACATGGAGCTGTGATGGCCCTTCGGTCAGCAAACTTGGGGTTTAGTTTCAGTGTAGCAAGGAAGGAAAACATACCATAGAATTCTCACAAGCAGATGCTAGACATTAGCATTAGTATAACGTGGTACAAACTAGGCACGTGTCCTGATATCTCTCATATTTAGGCTGTTTTTGTATCTGCTTTGGGGAAGTAGGAAAGGACAGTGTTCATGGATCCCAGTTATTATTTTATTTTTTAATTTGATGATGATGATGGTGGAAGTAGTGGTGGTGCTGGAGATGGCACCCAGGGCTAGCTTGTTAAGCATGAATTCTACCACTGAGCTACACTCCTACCTCCACACTTATAATTTCAGATTTGCTGCACTACCTTAATTCTTATGTTGTTCATTCCATAAACCAAAGCTACTGTATGTTTCCGCTATATTATCTCCAACCTTTCCTGTGCCTTGATTTTTCTGAGGAAATCCTAGAGTAGAATACTCATCCCTCTTTCTGATGGGATGAAGGAGGAGTTCTCTGAGCTACTTTGAGCTTTGCCAGCCACACTTGTGCTGTACTGGAATAGGAGAGGCTGAGTTTAGACTTGTTTCGCCATGACTCTCCCTCCACCGTGTTCCAGGAAAAGGAATTTTGCTTTTTGTGGCACATCACGTATACAACTTTGAGATTTGATTTAAGAAATACTTGTGAATTCTTATTCCTTTTTTTGTTTATTTGGTTCTAGGGGATTGAACCCAGGGGTGCTTTACCACTGAACTACATCTCCAGGCTTTCTTATTTTTTATTTTGAGATTTTGAGGTAGGATTTCACTAAGTTGATGAGTCTGGCCTCAGACTTGAGATCCTCCTGCCTCAGCCTCCTGAGTCAGTGGGATTACAGGCTGTGCACCTCTGTGCCTGGCTTTTTAAAAAAAATAAAATAAAAAGCCTAACAGAAATCTTCCTGGTTTGTTTGGAAAAGCATCTAGAGTATATATAAGGCAGAGGGAGCAGGAGAAGGAGAAAAGAGGCAATCTAGATGGAAGATCTAGCCCGGAAAGGAATTAGAATGAGACTTAGGGAAAGAAACAGGCACCCTATGAAGAAATCAGTGATACAAACAAATTCCATGCATTGTTGACTTCATCCTCTGAGATAAATCACACTTACTGGTTCTTTCTTCTGGAGATTTCCAGGAGAAAATTCTTTCTGTAGCACTTGTTCCAGAGGCTCACCTTGACACCACTGAGCTGATCGGCTCACAGGCCTACCCAGTCAGGGCCCAGGGGCCAGAGTCAACTGCAAGGAAGGATATTACTTGGAAGATCAGGCTCGTGGTTCAGTAGAAACAATTAGGCCCCTTCTGTGTACAAGGCTCCATCCTAAGGCATTTGTTAATATTGTCTCATTTAACTTTTTTAGTTAGGTAATATTTTATAGATGAGAAAACCGAGACCAGAGTTAAATGGGAACAAGAATTTGTGGCCTATCACCAACAGTGTTAGGACTGCCGGAGGGAAGATAAGAAAGCATTCGCCATCTTGCCATCCCCTGTGAAACAAATAGGATAGAGGATGTTTTTCTTACTATTGAGGTCTCCAGCTGTTAATAAAAAAAAAATCAGTAATGTTTTCTAAAATACCTTCAGGCCTATCCCTATGATGTTAATATTACCAGGAAAGGAAGGCCCCTAATGTGGAGTCAGCCGGCCGAGTGGCATGGCCCTGTACTGGGTCCTGGAGGCTTTCTCTGTGCTCAGAGAAGGAACATGTGGTCTCCAGCTGCTCCGTGATGAAAACACGCCAAGCCACACACGGATGTCTATGAAGAACAGTTTCCTTCCAGGGTCTTTGTTGAAACTGTAGATTTAAAGAAAGCTCCTTGAAGGCAGGAACCAGGTCTTGTGTAAACAGCTGAATTGGGGAACCCTTCACTCCCAAGCCCTTCCTATAGGAGCAGTTCCCATCCAGCCCTTCTGTGACCCCCCCATGTGGAAGTCATGCTTTCTATGAGCTGAAGTTCACATGTCTGCTCTGGTGCGTCCCACAGCAGATGGAGCAGGGGAAACCGGGTCCAAGTGCATTTGCACAGGAGTTGACTGGAGAGCCTTCCAGCTTTTAGACAAATTTCCAGAAACCATGTCTGAATTCTGATGAGAAGTGAAGACAGGCCTGAAGGAAAGTCTGGAACTATTCAGGAACACAAAATGCCCATGACATTTTGATGAAGTGCTTTCTGATCAGAATCCAGAGCCTGCCAGACCCCAGGGTCTCCTGGACATATCCAGTCCTCAGGTGGTGTGTGCTGTTTATCCAGAATGCTCAGGCTTGCCCTCCAGACACTCAAATGGTGGGTGGACATGGGTCTCACACATCCTCTCTTCCTCTTTCAGACATTACAGGTGATCTACCCCTACACCCCACAGAATGATGATGAGCTGGAACTGGTGCCTGGAGACTTCATCTTCATGTCTCCCATGGAGCAGACCAGCACCAGCGAGGGCTGGATCTACGGCACGTCCCTAACCACTGGCTGCTCTGGCCTCCTGCCGGAGAACTACATCACGAAGGCTGACGAATGCAGCACCTGGATATTTCACGGGTAAGCAGACTCTAGGACCTCAGCCTGCTGTTTCTTGAAGAACATTGCAGCAGCAGGCTCTAGGAAGTGTCAGGGAAATGGACTTGATCCTGGAGCCTTAGGGTAGCAGTGAGAGCAAATGGTGCCCATGGGGAAAAAGACTCATTGGTTCTACACTTCCAAGAAATGAGCTGACTTGAGACATGAGAAAATTGAGAAGCAGGTTGCTCTGCTCACTCTCCTGCCCCATTTGATGCCAGTGGATTTCAGGCTGCCTCGTGGTCCATCTCTCTCGCTACCCTCAGTGCTAGGTCTTCATTGTCTTGGGACACCTTGTCCTGGGTCATTACTCAGACTGGTAGGTCTCCCTGCAGTATCCATCTCCCTGCAGAATCCAGGCAGATTCCAAACAAACCACAAACCCAAAGATGGAAAAGAACATATTCTTTCTTAATAACCCCCACCCAGCAACAATTCCTTCCTGTGCCTTACATTCTGTCCCTCCACACCAGCCCATGAACATCCAGCCTTTGAAGGTCAAAGTTGCCTCATGTTCCCCAAACATTGCCTTTTCCAGAAATGTTTCTGAAGATCAAAATATACGAGTTTGAGTTTCCAGAGTCACCATCTCATCATTATAAAAACAAGTAAGGTTGGGCTTGGGTTGTGGCTCAGTGGCAGAGCGCTTGCCTTGCACATGTGAGGTACCGGGTTTGATCCTCAGCACCCCATAAAAATAAACAAATAAGATAAAGATATTGTGTCCATGTATAACTAAAAAATATTTTTTTAAAAAAAGTAAGGTAAAATAGAGTCAGGCACCATATCACATTCTAGGCAATTACAATCTGCAAAGATGACCTTGGTCACCTAAAGTTATACAACTTAGTGACACTGTAGGCTACTTAGTGTAAATATATTCTGTGATGCTGCACCCAAGGACACAGTTCTCAGAATGCATCCCCATGGTTAAGTAACACATGACCTTATAGAGGAATAAACTGAGAGCTGAGAGATTATTTGCTTGATGAAGCACAGTTCCCAGGTCTTTTTCTAACAGAAGGACTATGGGTGGAAGAAGAGTATGTGTGAGAAGATCTGGTAACCTACTTAAGATCCTTGCATCCAAACCCAGTCTTTCTCCCATTAGAGCTCAGGCCAAAGCCCAGGTGAACCCAAGTGACTTCAGGCAGTGGGTCACACCAACATCCATGTGTCATTGTCTCCTTTTATTTTGGAAAGTTACTAGTGATGTGATTTCCTAGAAACTGTGTCTGAAGATCACCAATCATCATCCACAGCCAACCCTGCTAGAGTGGAGAAACACTAATGTTAGGCACAGGAACACTGTGATTAAGAATTGAAGTTTAATTCCAATAGTCTTGGACTCCCTCTTACCACTTTGTGACCTTGGCTCTGTTACTTTACCTCTCTGAGCCTCTGTCTGCTCACCTATAACATGGGGATAATAATTGCACTTATCTCTTGGGGTTGCTATGGAGAGTAGAAGGCACTTAACTTTATACAGATTAGCACTGAATATAAAATAACCATGAAAATTATGATTATTCTTTTCTTCTTTCTTATGTCTGGGCTTAATATACTCATCAAATCAAATGCCCCTTCCACAAAGGCAGTTCTCCAGACACAAACTTCTCTTTGCTATTTAACTCCTGAGGTGGGAATGACTCAAGGAGACAGAGCTCTATTCTAAGAGAGACCTTCCCTGGTTCCTAACCAAGGACAGACTGGAGGAGGTGGAGCCACAGGGTGGAGGCTCCAGCAAGACCTGGCTGGTTGATGGGAAGCTGCAGAGGGGATCCAGGCAGCAATCAGGGAGTTGGCATCAATGTCTTTCTCACCCCTCTCTACCCAGTGCTTCTCAGTTCTCCGGGTCCCTCCTAAGGAAATGTTTTCTCACTGCTGTTATGGGACTGTCTTGCCTGGTTCTGAGTCCCCCTAGGGATTTTCCAGTTGATGAAACACCAGGGTGTCTCTGCAGTGGGCCAGCTGCCTGGCCCTTCTGAGCCTACCGCAGGCCTAATGTGTTCCAGGGAGGAACCAGAGTTCCCGGTGCTTGAGAGGAGGTACCGAATGTCATGACCAGGCCCCGTCTACCCTGTTCTTAATATAAAGCATCTGACTGTTGTCCTTTTAGAACTGACAGCCCCACGCCCATCTCAGAGAGAATCAGGTCCTTTGATTCCAGTGATGGTTAAAAAGGGAAGAAGGCTGGCACTGTCCTTGGGAGAGAGAAGGGATCCAGTCAGTGTCTTCCTAGCTGCAATAAAGTAATTAGAGGCATGGACAGGCGAGATGTCAGCATGATTCCAGAGAGCCAGATATTTCAGGCCCTGAAGCTTTGATGAACCAGACATGGACACTGAATTTTCTTCAACTGTACAATGTTCAGGAGGGTCTCTGTTTAAAATACAGGAGAGCAGCTGGCCTATTAGACTGTGTGAATGATACAAGATATCCTTGAGCTACAGTTACTTAAGTTTCCCCATAACTGGATTCTTCTGACTGCACATCAGTCTTACTGATAAAACTTTGTTAAACTCCAGGCTCCTGGTTCCCACCCCACCCACCGAGTTGAATCACGATCTGTGAGGAGTGGGACCCAGGCAGAAGTATTTTTCCAAGGTCCCCTGGTGATTTTGATAGGCACAAGGACTGAAAATCACTTCTTCAGGGCTTGGGGCTTCTGAGACCTTTGCTTTGAAATAGAATGAATCTATCATTCATGGTCTGGAAAGGGCCACTTCTCAGAGCGAAAGGAGTCCCCAAATATTTAAATCTTATTATTTTTTTGAAAAATAAAATTAGCATCTGGTTAGCTTAATGATATTGAAGAATATTCTTTTCAAAAATAAAATTCTAATAGTAATGCTGTATTAAAAATGAATAACCCAGAACAGGTACAAAACTGGACAGATTGCTGGATCCACAGGCACCAACCAGGTCTCTACTGGGCACATAGGGATATATGGCCACACACATTGTGAAAATGCAAGAAATCTGATTTAAATGCTCCCCCTTAACACTCCCCAGTGACACAGAGGGAGATGTTTGTTGGATTTGCCTAGCCGTATTTAAATCACAGTGTTTATTAGCTCAAGCTTTTGGAGTCTTACTATGAACAATAATTTAAATGCTGCATGTTTTGACAGCCTTCCCTTTAGCAAGATCTCTTTGGGGCCTCTGTAGTTACAGTGGTACATGCAGAAAGGAGAGTTCTTGGCCCACAGTTCTAAACATCTGGTGAGAATGGTCTCCTCTGAAATACTTCTATCCTTAATCATCTTGTTGATTGAGGTGGGGATAGGGTTGGAGACTGAAGAGGGTGGAATAGAGGATAATGGCCAGAAAGTTTCTTTGACCCTAAAGAGCCTCCGGCAAAGTGGTGAAGATGGTTAAAATTAAAAAGAAAAAAAAAATTCAACTCTCATTCTTTCCTTCAGATGGAAATTGCCATAGAAAAGATGAAGGGCAATGGGAATTGTTTATTTCATTTGAACTAGAAAAATAGCAGGAAACAGTGGTACATAATTGATACTCATTATTCTTTAACATGCCTTTGGTGCCAAGCATGCCTGTGGCATCCTAATAAGCACAAAATCATTGGACCCCATCCCTGCCCAGAAGGATGGATGCATCTGTTCTGGATACAGAAGTCCATCTACTCCTAATTTATTAACTGTGAGACTTCAGTATTTGAAAAAAAGAAAATCTCCCCAGGGATGGGGACCCCATGCTCATCTTTCCCAGCCACTGTCCTACCCAGAGAGTGTGATGTGCCAGTTCCCACTTCCGTTGGGCCCCCAGGAAAAGTGCTAATGACTCCTGGCAAAAGTAGTTAACATCCTCCTCATCTTACCTTGCAGTTCTTATTCAATCTTAAATACATCATCGTCAAACTCACTCACATTTGGTGATGGAGTGTTAGAGAGACGGCAGTATGAAGACCAGGGACTCGGGGAGACGACGCCTCTCACCATCATCTGTCAGCCCATGCAGGTAAGGCTGCTTGTTATGGCCACATACTCCAGGCTAATGGGGATACACTGTTTATTAAGTATGAGCATAGCCCTTGCTGCCTCCAAAGGGTCCCTAAACTCTTGGGGAGAGGAAAATGCACAAAATTATAAAATATAGCCAGATCTGGTGGTGCACACCTGTAATCCCAGTGACTTGGGAGGCTGAGGCAGGAGGATCATAAGTTTGAGGTCAAATTCAGCAAACTAATGAGGTCTTAAGCAACTTAACAAGATCCTGTCTCAAAATTTAAAAAGATGAAAAGGACTGGGGATATGGCGCAGTGGTTAAGCATTCCTGAGTTCAATTTCTGGTACCAAAAAAAAAGCAAACAAACAAACAAAAAAAGATTACAAAATATATTCAGCAATTCAAGGCTGGAAAAGTCAGATGAGTGGTGCAAATAGTGACCACCAGCATGTCTGTCTGGCCTATAGAGAAGAGGAGATTTTTATCCCTAACATAACAATAATACCCAAGTTATATTAGCTTTGTGGGTTAATGTGATGACCAAAGGAAACAATAAAATAAGGCTCTTATCACCATAAAAAGAGTGTGCTTAAAATATGAGAAGTTTTCCAAGACAGGTTGGAGGTAAGAGGAGAACAAGAGCTATTGCTGAGTATTACTGACAGAGTCCAGTAGTAGGGTTGAGCTCGCTGACTTTTTTTTTTTTTTTTTTTTGCAGTTTTATTAGATCTTAAAAGAGATCAGAAGAGCAGAGTACTTAAGACTAGAGCCTTGGGTTTGAAATAGGGAAGAGTAGGAAAAGAGATGGGAAAGTGCACATCACCAATCTACACATTAACCTTGTCAGACCAACTGGAAACTAACATGGATCTGGCAGCACTGAGGAAACTGGGAATAGCTGATAAAATTAGAAAGTAGAAACATCTAGAAAGATCCACTAGCATTTATACAAAACAAAGTCATTTGGACATGCCTTCGATGAGACTTGCCTATTTCATCATTGAGAAGTAGCAACTGTCCTCCCTGAGCCATATCTGGGAACACCAAACTGCCCACATGGTCAGACCAGAGCTCACATGGTGACTAGAGTAGATAGAGCAGGAACTCCCTGCTGGAGCAGAGAGACTGAATGTAAAACAGGCATTAACACTAGGACTGCTCCTTTTTTCCATGGGACCGTGTGCTCACTACCACATTTTAGAGGTGAGGCAGTGAAGAAGCTGATGAAGCATCCCTTTTGGGGAGAAAATTATCCTCCTGAATGACAGTCTCTTTATTAATGGCCAGTTTCACCTCGGAGCTGTAACTCATGTGTTTTTCATGTTTTAGTAGCTGCCAAAAGCTACTCCCACTAAAAATAGCACCAGCAGCCGTGAAAATAAGCCTTTCATGACCCTTTTTATTTTACAAAGCACCTGCAATTTCTCTCATTTGAGCCTCAAAATAACTTGTGAAGTATACAGAATGAGTCTTATTATCCTCATTTTACATTCAGGACAACCTAAATCCAAGGCAGTTAAGAGGCTTGTCCAAATCATGCATTGGCAGATTTGTCTTAGAGCTCAGCCCAGTTGACACCAGGACAGGTCTACAGTGCCATGTTTCCTCACTTTTCTTCCTCTGCAGCCCCTGCGGGTCAACAGCCAGCCTGGGCCCCAAAAGCGATGCCTCTTTGTGTGTCGGCATGGGGAGAGGATGGATGTTGTGTTTGGAAAGTACTGGTTATCCCAGTGCTTTGATGCCAAAGGTGAGTACAGTAATCCCCACTCCTTTTTTCCCCACAGTTTTGCCTTCTTTGGTTTCAGTTGACCACAGTCAACCATGGTCTGAAAAGATTAAGTGGAAAACCCCAGAAATAAACAAGTCATAAGTTTTAAATTACACTCCATTCTGAATAGTATAATGAAATCGCAGTGTCCAATTCCATCCTGCCTAGGTGGATTATCCTTTGTTCAGGGTATATACATTATATATGATACCCACCTTTACTCACCTAATAACTCGCCTGGCTATCAAATCTACTGTCACAGTATCACAGTGCTTATGTTTGAGTAGTTCTTACATACTACCCTGATGTTAAGTCTCAATGTCCACATCTTTCACCTCACTTTACTTCATCACATAGATATTGTATCATTTCACATTACAAGAAGAAGACTGAGTACAATGCAGTATAATATTTTATGAGCGACTACGTTCACATAACTTTTTTACAGTATGTTTTTACAACTATTTTATTATTAGTTATTATTGTTAATCTCTTATTGTGCCATATTTATGAATTAAACTTTATCCTAAACATGTTCGTGAAGGAGATAACATAGGATGCCTAGGGTTCAGTACTATCTGTGATTTCAAGCATCCCCTGTGGTCTCCTAACATCTCCTACCTATAAGGGGGATTTACTCTATGTAGTTGGTTGGCCTGCTTAGCATTGGCATACCTATCATGGCCTCTAGGGGGCAGAGTCAAGCTATGCAATTTATGTACATGGTCTTATTTATGGGTTTGAATACTATTGAAAAAAGCATGCTATCTATAAGTCCTCACTGAATGTCTTGAATTTTAGGAAAGAGGTAAGTGTCCTTGTTCCCACTCTATAAAAACTGAGAAACCAAGGACCAAAGAATAAATTACTTGTCCATGGTCATATGGCAAAGTCCATTGGAGAAGACAGTGATTCCATGGCCAGAGTTTCTTCCATTAAACTCTGTATGGCCAGCATGGTGTAGTCCTGCAAAGTAGGCCTGTCTCTTCTGTTTTCATTTTCATTGAATGGCATTTTAAGATAGCGACTTGCCTGTCAGAAAAGTCCACCTACTTAGAATGTCTAGTTGTTATCATCACTTAGAAACTATCTCTTGTCACTTCTATTAACAGAATGGAAGAGTGGGTTCCAAGACAGTCTACTGAAGAAAAAGTGTCAGATTCAATATTTTCCATCAGCTCCAGAGAACTCAATTCAGACTCTGACTTAGAAGGAGGATGTACCAGGATCAACAAAAGACGTCTTCAAATAAAAAGTCTGACCTTTTTATTTTCCCCAGGCCGCTACATACGCACCAACCTGAACATGCCTCATAGCTTACCTCAGCGGAGTGGTGGTTTCCGGGATTATGAGAAAGATGCTCCAATCACTGTGTTTGGATGCATGCAGGCAAGATTAGTAGGTAAGTGTCCTGGGGCGATACATAGCATTTCCTGGCCCCTTTTCAAATGTCGAGTACCAAGTGTATACCAGGACACTTCCTGGGGTTATCTGTAACTTCCCTATATGTGATCTATTTCCTTTACTCAAAAGGGATTTATTACATAACTCAGGACAGTGGCTTGGTTTACCAAAGTGAACAAGACATGGTACTTACTCAGGAGCATGATAGGAAAAGTCAAGCATGTTTTACTTACATCACTGCTATGCAGACAGGTCAGATTCTAGTTTAAGACAGCATCATTTACCAACATAGCTGTAAAACTAGGGCAAGGGTGAGGAGGGAAGCTTGGGGTTGCTGAATTTATAGAAGCCAATCAATGCTTTGATGACAGTCAACTCTTTGCAGGCCTATCCCCTACTAGACATGAAGAGGCAATGCCTTGTTCTATTTTTTCCCTTAACAGACATGTATTGATTATTTACTAAGCTAGGTGTTAAGGACCCATGCATGTTAGTCCCCACTCTAAGGGAAACCAACAGATGTGGACAAATATCATACCACATGGTGTTCTGAGTAATAGAGGTATGCATCAAGTATTATGGGAGCGCACGCACACGTGCAGGCATACACACACACACACACACACACACACAAAATACATGTAAAAGAAGAGATGTGAGCTGTGACCTGGAGTGGAACTAGCTGAGGAAAAAGAAGCAGCAGGAGGAAGAGCAGGGCATTCTTGGTAGCAAGACAGTGTAAAGAAAGCCACAGGTTAATAGCATCCAGAATGTGGGAGAAACAAACTGTCTTGTTTCTAAAGCATCTGTTTCCAGAGGCAGGGCAAGAGGTAGACTGGAAAGATTAATAAAGACAAGTTCCCAGAAGACTTTGACCACCATATTAAGGTGTCTGGATGTGGGGAGCCGCTCTGAATGACCACGTCTTCCAGGCCTGAAGCACGAGGCTCTGACCAATCACTACATTTCATAGTGACTTGGGTGTTGTTCCAGCTCAGATAGCAAGGCATGGCTCCAGGTGTAGGTGTCACCCTCAGGGTTGAGCTACACTCACCTATTCCTTTGTAATCCTACCCCTTGCCTCATTTGAATGGCTTCTTCCCAATGAAAGGGTTCAGCATGTACTCCTTCTCTCTTTCCATGGACCCCTAAGGTCAGAGGATACAAAGAAAAAGGTATTTCTCGGTCTCTGTGTGATTATTTCATGCCAGCCCAGTTCACCTGGAGTGACCTGGAGTGTTTAGCCATGGAATAGGACATCTGGAGCTTGCCTAGTAGAGAAAAGAAGTGGATTCATGAGGAAAGCATTAAGTATCAGCTGCGCTTTATCTCTGATGTGCAAGAACATGACCCATGGAGATTTTGGTTAACACACAGTGACAGTAAAGTAAGATTAATCCTCTCCCTTCTTTCATAAGGAAGAGGTTAGAGCATTATCCTGTTCCCAGGTCCCTCCTAGGAGAACATTTTACAACTCATTGACACCAGGGAGGAGGAAAGAAAAGGACAAGAAGGGGCCTGCCTGCTGCTTGGCCTCTCATTCAAACACCCATGAGGGGGATTGTTGGAAACAAGGATGATACTGATGGATCTATGAGAGCCCCCAGTAGGAAAAAGAGGTCTAAAGTGTCTTCCTAGCAACCAAATGAAAGCCAAGTAGATCTATCAGACTGATTCTCCTCGGATTTTCTTCGCAGGTGAAGCCTTATTAGAAAGTAACACCATTATTGACCATGTCTATTGCTCCCCATCCCTACGCTGCGTTCAGACTGCACACAATATCTTGAAAGGTAAGATTCTCCATTGAAAGTCAACTAGTCCATCCCTCTGTCTCTAAGCACCTAATTATCATAGGATAATTATCATTATGGGATACTCACCAATTATAAGCTTTGAATCTGAAATTTTTAGCAGATTCTTTCATGAGGTGACTGATCTTGCACAAATCACAAAATCATAGTATGACAGCATAACCAGATAAACAAAGTTTGCCAATAATGATTTTCCTGAGAATTTAAAGCTCTTTAGTTGTTGTTGTTTTGTTTTTTTGTTTTGTTTTGGGGGATTGAACCCATGGACACTCAACCACTGAGCCACATCCCCACGCTTTTTATATTTTATTTAGAGACAGGGTCTCGCTGAGTTGCTTAGGCTGGCTTTGAGCTCAGAATCCTCCTGCCTTAGCCTTCGAAGCTGCTAGGATTACAGGCATGCACCACCTCACCTGACTGTTCTTTTGGATAAATTGTGGGACTGAAAAATATTTAGAGCTTATAGATCAGTGATTCTTTCTTTGCACTTACATAGTAAATAATTTCACCCAGCTTTAATCTGTTGTTTGCTAATTGTTTACAGCAGCAATAGTACTCTTGGGAGTCTCTAATCTTAACGATCCTTATTTCTTTAGTTAATTGGAAAAACTATAAAAAGACTCAACTTTTACCCTAAAATCCATAGAACTTTGCATTATAGAGACCCACACACACGTACACCATTTTCATTTCATTGAAAGGAAAACTGAAGAAAACAGAATGAAGTGTGTACTTAAGCTAAACAAACAAATGAGCCATAAACGGACAAGCCAGCAAAGAATTTGACACTATATTTGAGCCTTTAATTCTTTAACCCAAGTAATCCTTCCCTGCACTACGATGAAGCACTTATATATTAAATTGGCATAGAAAAAACTGGACTAAATGTAATATAAAAAGAGCTAAGCTAACAGAGACAATTCCTACTGAGAGTAATCACACTACAATAAAATCTAAGATTTGTGTGCTGGTACTTTTAAATATTCAACATTAGATTTTCTGATAGGAAAAAAATGAATAATTTACATGATAGTCAAATACAATGAAAGCTATTGTGTAGTAATGGATGCTAAGAGAATATCTGAAGTTTTTTGGTCACACAATCATGGAATTTATTTTGGAAAGAGGAAATTACAGTAGTCACAGAATTGAACCAATTACATGGATAATGATTTGTGGGTTTTGTCCTGAAATCAGACATCAAACATCCTTAAAGCCAGCATACATTCTTGAGGTGCAGCCAGAGTATTAACTCATGTGTCAGTAAAACACAAAAATTATAAGCCTTGTCCAAACCCACAGGCTTCCACTTCCTTCCAGGAGAAAGAATAACTGTTTTAACAGAATTGTGTAAGGATTTGGCCTAAAACTTATTTTTCCACTGAGAACATCATAGCACTTCCTTCATCTTTGTTTTATTTTACCTCTAAGGTTTACAACAAGAGAATCACTTGAAGATCCGCGTCGAGCCTGGCTTATTTGAGTGGACAAAATGGGTTGCTGGGAGCACATTACCTGCGTGGATACCTCCTTCAGAGTTAGCTGCAGCCAACCTGAGTGTTGATACAACCTACAGGTAACCCTCTGAAACTGCTGCTTCCTGGAACCTGTGTGGAAACACTTTCCATGCTCTCACCAGACCAGGCTAATCCATTGGATGAAGGGCCAGGCATAGTCTGCAGGTAGTTGTCCATAACTGGGAAGGCCAAGCTATGATTTGAGAAACCAAATCTGGAGAAAAGCCAGCATTACCTTGCATTTAGGTGTGTTAGTCAGCTTTTCATCACTGTGATTTAAACACCTGACAAGAACAACTTAGAAGAGGAAGTTTATTTTGAGCTCATGGTTTCAGAGGTTCAGTCTATGACTGGTCAATTCCATCACTTTGGACCCTAGATGAGGCACATCATGGCAGAAGAGTGTGGTGAAGGAAAGCTGTTCAGCTCATGAAAGCCAAGAAGCTGAGAGACAGGAAGGGGCCATAACCAGATATAGTCCAGACCATGCCCAGTGACCTGCTTCCTCCAGTCATGCCCCACCTCCCTACAGTTACCATCCAGTAGTGCATACAGTCGATGAATCCACTGATGACATTGCGTCTCTGATAATCTAATCATTGCGCTTCTGAACATTTCTGCACTGCCTAATAGATGAGCTTTTCTAGGGACATTAAAGATTCCAATCATTAATATTAGGATAGGGTGAATTATATTCTTCACCCCAACCCATGTCAGATTTTCCTGACTTTATTATATTTGTTTCAGTGGAATAACAAAACCATTTTGCATTCCAGAAACATGTACTAGCTAATGGTAATATAATTCAGATGCTTGTTGGGAAATAAGGGAGGTGACAATGTTAATTTTCCAAAACATTTATAATTTTCCTTATTATGTTTACTTGTTAGGGCTATCACCCTAGAATGTGAGCAAGTCACTTTTTTCTTTTCTTTTTTCTTTTCTTTTCTTTCCTATTTTTTACAGTGCTAGGAGTGAATGGAACCCAGATCTTCACACATGCTAGGCAAGTGCTCCACCAACGAACTACATCCTGAGCCCAGCAAGCCACTCATATATGCAAGAGTTCAAGTGGCTTACCTAAAGTTATAAATATAGTGACTGACCACACATAAAAATAATGATGACAACTAACATTTATTGATCAATTTCTGCATACCAAGTACTGTGTACCCTTTACAGTCATTCTTATTCCTATTCTGTCCCTTTTGCCATTAGACCAGACTAACTGTACTGACATTTTTTTTTCTTTGATGTATAGACTGCTCCCAGTTGAAAATCCACATGCATACTTCAGCATCAATCAGTGAGCTAGGTGTGGTGGTGCATGCCTGTAATCCCAGCAGCTCAGAGGCTGAAACAGGCAGATCATGAGTTCAAAGCCAGCCTCCTCAATTTAGTGAGGTCCTAAGCAACTTTGTGAGGCCCTGTGTCTAAATAAAATATAAAAAAAAAAAAGGCTGGGATGTGACTCAGTGGCTAAGTGCCCCTGGGTTCAATCCCTGGTACCAACCCCCCCCCCAAAAAAAAAATCAACTAATGATAATACAGTTACATTGACTATTGAAAATCCACTAAAGCTATGTAAACTCTCTTTGAGGAAGGACAGAAGTCACAATCATGATAATGGGAAATTAAACTTATATTTCTTAGAGTAGAATTTGGAACAAGTGACCAAAGTTAATGCTAGCTCTCTTTCTTGTAATATCTGTTGAACTTTCATTTCAAATACCTACCCAAATCACCAATGAAACAATGTGAATTTCTGGCTAAGGTAGGAGAGGTTATCTCCTTTTTCTACCCTAATATTTTTATTCTGCAGATAAGATGTCAGATAACTCCTTCTTTAATTGTGTGGTATATCTTCTTTCCTTAAAAGAAATTAGCATTCCTCAAAAATAAAATTATACCAGGCACCCTGGCACACAACTGTAATCCCAGAAACTCAGGAGGCTGAGGCAGGAGGATGGCAAGTTCAAAGCCATCCTGGGCAACTTAGTGGAGCCATCAGCCACCCTTTCTCAAAACAAAAAAAAATAAAAAAGGCTGAAGCTGGGTGCAGTGGTGCACTATAATCCCAGCAACTTGGGAGGAGGAGGCAGGAGGATAGCAAGCTCAAAGTCAACCTCAGCAACTTAGTGAGACCCTGTCTCAAATTTTTAAAAAATTAATAAAAAGGGCTTGGAATGTGGCTCAGTGGTTCCATCCCCAGTACTACAAAAATAAATCAATAAATCATAAAATTAAATCAACAATCTGATCCCCTACCACACTTGACATTTTGTCCTGTCCCTTCTCTGGTCACTGTTTTTCTATCCTTCAGGCACAATAAATCATTGTCCCCATGTCAACAGCCATCATCCCATCTAGCCAGAAAAGAGTTTTGAGTTGCTGCCAACACTGGCGAGGTGACTTTTGGCACACTCCATCCAGCCCCATCCTGGCTTACTTGGGCCATCCATGTCCTGTTTCTCCTTGGTATGTTCTGCAGGGCTTCTCAAGCTGACCTACAAAGTTCTCCAAAGCCACTCTAGCTGAGCCCACTATGCACTCGGAAAAACACACCCAGGTACACACAGACCGCACAACCCCATCAGCAGTGCAAGCAGAATGAAGGCCAAGAATCTGGGAATCAGGACATGGTCCTTATTACAAATCTTCTTTTCTTTTCAGCAAATCACAGCTCAATTCAACCATTTTCTGTTTGGCATATGGGGAGGGAGATGAAGCCTCTAAATCTTAGTTATATGAGAAGGACAAAGTTAAAGTATGTGAAAGATACAACCTCAAATTAAACTCTCCATGAGATTAATGATGACAAAATGAACAGGACTTTTGAAGTAAGTAAGTGAAGCCCAAGGGATTGAAGATACCGTGACGAGAAGAGAAGCTAGCCCTGGGATACAGGGTAGTATGAGTCGAGAGCACTCAGCTTTAAAAGCCCTGTTACCTTGCAACAGGGGCCAGCAGAGAACAGGAGGGAGAGGGACTGGAAGCCAAGTTAGGGGAACTTACTAGACTGGTGACTCATACCGAAGCTTCATCCCTGGGCAAGACCAGCCTAGAGGGTGGGTGTAGTAAGCAGCCCTAGACTTAGCAAGCTGGGCCAGTGCAGCAATGCAGGAAAAACAAAATGCCTACCAACCAGGCAGGCTCAGAGCAGGGAACAGGGCCCTGACACGTGGGGAAACGGGACTGGAGGAGGGCATGGATCTAGAGTGCTAGAGAGGCAGCAAATCAAGATTTTGTGGGGCTTAAGGCAGAAGTCGGCCCTACAGCCTGAACCAAAGCAGTGGGGAAGTAAAGAGTTGATGAGAACACTGTTCCAAAGGTGCCCCCAAAGGACCTGGAGCTGGGCATGGTGGCACATGCCTGTAATCCCAGAGGCTCCGGAGGCTGAGCCAGGAGGATCGTGAGTTCAAAACCAGCCTCGGCAAAAGCGAGGCACTAAATAACTCAGTGAGACCCTGTCTCTAAATAATGTATTTTATTTAGGGCTGGGGATGTGGTTCAGTAGAGCACTGAGTTCCAGGTCCACTGGGTGTTTCAAAGCCACCAGACTCTAGGAGAGTTCAGGACCCTACATGTGTGACAGTATGACAGTTCCTACTGTCTTCAACTTCCTCCCAAACCCATTGGGAAAGGTCAGATAGAGGAGCCAATCAAAGGTTTTACTTCAAGGTGCTGGGAGAGGCCACAGGCAAGAACTGATCCGGAGGAACTCGATCCCAGCATGTATCACAGCCTTCACTCACATGAATCTCACACATCACAAAGTCGTCTAACCCTTGAAGAGACTCCTTGAGACTCATGAAGTAGCCTATTGTTGCAGTATGAAGGGAAGAGAGAAGCTCCTAGGACATGGAGTGATGTGAATGGTAATGGAACTGAATAAGAGGTGCGGTTAGGGAGGAAGAGGAGAGTTTGTTTCAGAACAAGCAGGTCCAGCCCTGTCGGTGGTGATTTGTCTCTGCTAGTAGCTCAGGGTAGGATGAGATTTGGGAGGTTGTTGCATACTGAAGAGAAGGTTCTATAGGGGCAGGTTTCCTTCAGATGGAACCACTACAGCCCTGACAGTAAGACCAAGTGCACAGAAGGGTGACCTTCTAGGACACTGTCAGAAGGTCTCCAGTGTGGAGAATCTGCTCACAGGCCAAGTCTGAGGCCCAGATTCAAGTCTAGTTTCTCAGAGTTGTTAACAGTCTGAGCAAGTCCTCTGTGGCTTTTTTTTTTTTTTTTTTTTTTTTTTTTGAGCCTTGGTTTTGTCATCCAGAAACTTGGGATTTACAAAAGCATTACTGGGAAGATTATACTGAAAAACGTAAGCAGGGTTCATGCACAGAGCCTGACACTGGAAGCCTTCAGTAAATATTTGTAGTAGTAATGTATTCAAATCAAGATGCCATATGGAGGTTGCAAATGTAGCTCGGTGGTAGAGCCTTGCCTAGCATTTGTGAGGCTCGGGTTCAATGCCCAGGCAAAGAAAAGGGAGGAAGGAAGGAAGGAAGGAAGGAGGGAAGGAAGGAAGGAAGGAAGGAAGGAAGGAAGGAAGGAAGGAAGGAAGGAAGGAAGGAACTGGGTTCTATACCCAGCAAAAAAAGGGGGGAGAGGTAGAGAGGGAGGGAAGGAGAAAAGAAAAGGAAATGCCTTGTGAAATCACTTTGAGACCTTACCACCTATGCACAAGGCAGAAAACACCCATCAATGAAAAACAAAACAAGAAATAGAAAATAGAAATAGTAAAGGACATGGTCATACTCAAGAATAAGATAAATAGCTATGGACCAGAAACAACCCAGAAATTCTGAATAGTAAAGGGAGGTGGAAGCAGGTGGTGGTGGGCCCAAGGGCATTGGTTGACTGGGTCACCAGGTCAGGCATTTTGATCTTTCTTTTTAATGCCTTTGTAGATTACATAGTTATCATTGCATCAATAACCTCCCCACTTGGTCCACACAGACAGCTAGCTCCTCAAGCCCAGAAATTGGGCTTTCCTCTTCTTTATGTCTTCTGGGCTTTTCCTAGTGCCAGGTGTCTCATCTCTTTTTTTCAATAAGAGGCAAAGAGAAGGAAAAGGCTGGTGGAAATTTTTATGAGGTCACAAATCAGATGGATTTTCTGCTTTTAAAACCTGTCCTAATCTAACCTCGCCTTAATTCCTATAAGGTATATGATTAGGTCCATCAATGATAATAATTAGTAAAAGTAGTCTAACTGTGGGTATATCATCCTGTGCATAGAGCATGAACTAAATATCTCATTTTTCAACAGGTCACTGTGACACCATACATACAATCTGTTTTAGTACATTTCAACCCCATGTCTTTATAAAGGCAGTAGTCTTCTCTTTACCTCCCTTCTTTCTAGGGACATGGATAGATATATGGGAACTTTAGAAAAAGTCCTGACAAAATGGTTTAGAATATCAATTGCTTCATCTCAGGATCAAAATGTTTTCATTTCTTTTGTTCATTCTTCTGTTCCAGACCTCACATTCCAGTCAGCAAACTAGTGGTTTCAGAATCCTATGACACTTATATCAATAGAAGTTTCCAAGTAACAAAAGAAATTATAAGTGAATGTAAAAGTAAAGGTAGGTGGTATTATTTTGGACTCCATATTTAAATATGTCACTATTTCTCTATCATGGCTAATAGGGCTACTCAAGATGCTTGCAGTTGCTTTGACAGACTTGCTTAATAGGAAAGAAATATATTTCTAGCTCTCTTCTAAATTCTTTGACATTGAATTTGTAATATTCTCTGAGTATCTAAAATGGTAGGAATCCCAGGGGAACACACTAGACTTAATTACTTATATTTAATAACTTAGATTCTGCATAGTAGCTGGCCATCTTGCACCCTACCAAGAGGACTCCCCATTGCAATTTCCAGAAGGTCTCTAGAATAACACTGTTTGCCTATAATTAACCAGAGAGCATGGACATTCACATATAAAACCATCTACACAAGCTGAACATTGGTACCACACACCTGTAATCCCAGCAGCTTGGGGGGCTAAGGCAGTAGGATCAGGAGTTCAAAGCCAGCCTTAGCAAATTAGCAAGACCCTAAGCAACATCTACCCAAACACATGTATTAGCTATGCTGCCACCAAGAGAAGGGTATGTAAGGCTCAAGTCTGTTTGCTGTTACATTTTCCAAAGATTGGGTTCAAATATTTAATGATATTTCTGACTGACTGTTGGCTATAGATTTCAAGCTAATTTATTTATATTCATAGAGCAAAAACTATAATTATGTGCACAAAAATGTTGACAGTAGATAGCCCTGAGCAACAGTAGATGGTTGTCCATCTACTGTTCCAGTTATCACTCATAAGCTGCTCACTACCATGAAGGTAAACAGCATGTGCTAATAGCTAGGAGGTCTCCAGTGCTCACAATTCTCTAGTGGCAACATTTCACTCTGTGTTAGAAGGACTGGCCCAGGGGCCCTGTGGATGCAGAGGACTTCTGCTTCTTGATTCTCATGGTGCTTACACACAGTTATGCACGTGGGAGAGTGACACAGAACTATATACTCATACACAGTGACTGCCTGGTGAGCCAAATAGCCAAGCAGATTGTAACTGTGTCCATCTCCTGGTTTTGATAGTGTAGTATGCCTGGGTTTGATCCCCAGCACACACACACACAAAAAAAAAAAAAAAAAAAAAAAAAAAACAACCCTCAAGAGTTGATAGTGTAGCATGGTTATGAACAATGTAACCACAAGGGAAGGCTTCATGAGACCTCCATTGTGTGTATATATGTATGTATGTGTAACCTCCTGTAGATGAATCTATAATTCTATAAAAAAAAATTTGTTTCCCTTTTTCTTTTATTTATTTTGGTACTGGAAATCAAACCCAGGGTTATGTGCATGCTAGGCAAGTATTCTGCAACTGAGCTGTATTCCAAGCCCCTTTTTAAATTTTTTAAATAAACATATAATAAATATGTTTTATTGGTTACAATATGATATTTCAATACATGTATACAATGTATAATAATTTAATCAGGGTGATTAACTTTTCCCCTCTCCTTAAATATTTACCATTTCTTTGTGTTGTTTATAATTATTTTAAGACAAAAAGTTGTTTTTTTGTTTTTGTTTTATTTAAAATCATGAAGAATTTTCAAAGTGTTGCTTGGCTGGGCAAATTGCCTTTTTTTTTTTTTTTTTTTTTTTTTTTGAAGTGCTGGGGAATTAAACCCAGGGGTGCTTTACCACTGAGCTACATACATCCTAAATTGTAATTTTTTTTTTTTTTTTTTTTTTGAGATAGGGTCTTGCTAAGTTGCTGAGGGTCTGTCTAAGTTGCCCAGGCTGGCTTCCAGCTTGCAGTTCTCCTGCCTCAGCCTCCCTGGGATTACAGGCTTGCTCCACTCTGCCTGGTTTTGTCTTCTTTTTGAGAATGTTGATCCCTCCCCAGAACATGAATCTTCCAGAATTTACAAAGTTTACATATGTCTTTATAGAAATGGCCTTCCCATTCTTTGCCTTTGTCCCCAGGAAATAACATTCTGATTGTGGCCCATGCATCTTCCCTTGAAGCATGTACCTGTCAGCTGCAGGGCTTGTCACCTCAGAATTCCAAGGACTTCGTACAAATGGTCAGAAAGGTAATTCAGTCTTGAACTTATGGGACTCATGGTGCCTAGTAGTTTAATAAGACTTCAGCGACTGGCTTTTGGCTCATTATTTGAAGCATGTATTTATGCTGAGCTAGGAAGATTCACTTATTGATTTACTCAGCCAAGATGCATTGAGTGGGACTCTGTAAAGCACTTTATTAGATCTTGTGTAAGAGAAAAAGATGTGTTAACGACAATTCCAGCTTCTCAGAGCTAACATTTAGGAAGCAGCTAAGAATTACAAGCAATGAGGGACCTTGGAGTGGATAAGGAGAGTTAGTCTAACACAGCTGAAAGCTTAGCTAGGTGAGCGGTTCTCGCAAGCCTGCAGGCCAAGGAAAGCAACAAGTGATGGTGGTCAGGCCACAGGCAAACCCAGTAACAAGACAAAACCCCAGGAGGTTGACCTGTGCATCTGAATTCTTCCTTTTCATGCCTATAAAAAGGGTTTTTGGTCAGTCACCTACCATGTAAGGCAGCTACTTCCTTTCTGTGCCACCGGAAAGGAAACTCAATTGCAACTCTCTTCTCATTTTTAAACAGGTTATTTATGTGTCCTCCCCACTAGTCTGTAAGATGCTGGAGGGCAGGGATTATTATAAATGTAGCTCTGGACACATATGCAAAAATATATTTTAAAATTGCCATAACAACTGATAATAGCAAGGGCAGAACTTCTGCTTTGAATGTCAAAGATATGTGTGCCCCCCCAAAAAAAAAGATAAAGCAAGGGTGAAACAAATGATTAAAAATTAAATGATCTTTGCCATTGAGTTCAAGTACAATTTCAAAAATGTTCAAAGAAAAAAGAAATGTTCAAGGTGCCTTTTTAACTTGACGTGCAATTTGGGATTGATGTGGAATTAGGGATTAACTTCTGGAACTCAGCTTCGTGGTAGCCTCCTTATCCAAGATTTCACTTTCTGAAGTTGTAGTTACCTGTGACCAAACACAATCCAAAGATACAATCCTGCACAGTAAGATATTTTGAGAAAGAAAAAGACTACACTCATAACTTTTATTACAGTATATTGTTAGTTATTCTATTTTATCTATTATTGTTGTTAATCCCTTACTGTGCCTAATTTATAAATCAAATCTTATTATAGGTATGTACATATAGTGGGGCAAAAAAACAGCATATAGAGAATTTGGTATTATCCAAGGTTCCAGACATCCACTAGGGGTTTTGGAATGTATCCAAAGTGAATAAAGTGGGGTGAGAGGGAATATTTTATATGTTTTGTTCTCTTGTCTCCCACCCTATCAAGCAGCAATCTATAAACTAAACAACTTACAGCAGGGGATTCATGGTTTGATAGATCCTTCTGATGAATCCTGCTGCACTGTAAATACTCTTCCCTCTCATTTATCAGCTCTATCCATGTCGTTTATTGACTTTTGAAGAGGATACATTTCTACAAAGCCCCTGTTCTAGAGCCACTTTGTGTCATATCTTTGTGTCTAGGTGAAAGTTTAAGCATTGACCCTCTGTCTTCCATTTTTCCTTTTGTACTACTTTAACTTCAGATCCCATACCTAGGCTTTTGCTCCTGTGAAGAACTAGGAGAAACTGGAATATGGCAGCTAACAGATCCCCCCATCCTTCCCCTGACTCATGGACCAACAGGGGGCTTCAACTGGAGAGAGACCTTGCTGCAAGAGTAAGCCACAAAGGGATTGAAGAAAAGGCCTTTTGGAGAAGTCTTTGGGGTGTTTAGTAAACAGTGGAAAACTCCATACCACATTCTAAATGGACAGCTCAGAATAATCTAGCATATTTTCTTTCGTGCTTCAAGTTCTTATGATGAGACTGTAAATGAAAGAAAGACATGATTCAGGGAGAAAATAAATCCATTCTCTCTGGACTCTTGCCCAGCTAACAAGGCTTTGGAGAACTGTCTTCCAAAACAGGGACACCCACTGCAGCAGATGCTGTTGTCCCCCTTCCGCCTATGCATGGCTAAGGAACCTCACTCCTCCCCGAAGGAGCTGCCAGCCTGCTCTGTGGAAGGAGTATGCCCAGAATGCAGTTTGGGGGCGGGGGTTTCTTCTGAACTCCATTTTTAAGATAGGCAAAGCTGAGGAATCCTTTTAAGGTTATTAGAAAACATGCCCCCAAAGGATGGTCCTTAGGTCACACATCAAATTCCACCCTCAGCAGACTCCATACACCAGTGTTGCTGGCTCAAGACACCTGCTGGAGGACGCTAACATTTACCCTGGTACTGCCACATTTTCTCCAGAGCAGCTGGCCCTTCTTGCTTCTATCTGTGAAATGGGGAAACAAAGCATTTTTGCTCTCAATGTGCTTTTACTTCATGTGGAAGATACGTGTGACATGTTCAATGGTAGGTGCAGAAAGCTTGCAAACTATAAAGAGAATTGGAATTTCCATATCATAGTCTAATGAGCCACAGCAATTCTAAATCACCAAAATTTGCTAGTCTTTGTCCCCTAGACTATGCTACTATGCTAACTAGTTAAGGATGTTGACATTTTGAAAGAATATGTTCAATAAATTATTTGAATAAGCAAGAAGCTCATTCTGTGCAATATGAATATCTTTATAAACCACACCAAGGGCCAGGTTGTTGGATACTTATAGTACCTTGTAACCATAATAGAACATCCACAAATGCACCACTTATACCAGGGATGTATAATGAAGTCAGGGAACTAATCTCAATGCTGACAGTCACAATGCACTGCTACTTGTGCTGTCCCTTTTTTGTTTGTTTTTCTATGGTAATTTAAAATATAGAGGAGGTAGGGCCACTTGAAGTAAATTAGAGAACCACATCCTGTGGTTTCTTGTTATACCTACTTCCCATATTTAAAGGGAGTTTATTTAAAAGAAAAAAATGAATGACAATCAAACCAAAACATCAATGATCAATGTCTATTTAATTGTGTGAATAGCTGACTATTAGGGCCACAGACAATGGTCTGGTATGGAATAGTTCATTGTGTAGAATTTGTGTACAAAGTGAAATCCCAGCCATTTGAAGGGAACAATAGTGTAAAGCAAATCTATATATGTTGTAGAATAAGTTTTAAAACCCAGACTCATAAAATATATGGCAAATAAAAACAGACCTATGCTGGTAATTAAAATTGAAATTTGATGACCCCTGGAAAGAAGAGGAAGTGAAAGGTTGCTGGCTATATGTGTTAATCAGGGAAAGGGTTCTGGTTGCATTTTTAAAAGACACTTAGAGAATATGTCACGAATTCTACATTTGAAGAAACAGATTATGATTTCTTTTAGCATTGCACAAATACCTATCAACTTTTGGACGTAAAAATAACCCTTTGCTGACATATTAGTATGTTTAAACCTTAAAATAACTGAGAGGGAAATATTCCATTACAGTTCTTAAAAAAGAAAAGTCACACTATAGCTAATGTAGTGTCCCTGGTATTTGTAATGAAGTGAATCCACCATTTAATCAGGTCTATAATATTTATTGGATTCACCACAGGTTTTCCTGGGCTTGAGTGCTCAGAATATGCTTGAACACTTCACATCAGATTTCCTTGACACTTTGAAGTGTGTCCTAGACAGTGTCTTTACTTGTGTAAAATAGAGTTCAGAATAGGTTATCCTCTCCATCTCCCTCAGTTGTCTTAGTCCTATGATGTCCTGATAAATCAGTTTGACTGGGCTGCATTCCAATGTCCTTAGTCTAATACGGACACAGCCTTAGGCAACTGCCTACCTGAGCCAAAGGAAGCAGAGATCTAAAACAATTTTCTGAATAATTTAGGTAGAGAACCCTGAGTACAAGAAAGAGTTTATTCCCCTGCTTTAACTATCCAAATTGCTTATCAAAATGGCTGAATAATCTGAATTCACATTAAAATCTCTTTTGCACAATTACCTATTAAAAAATTTAACTATGGACTCCAACTAAGGAATTCTTTAGAAATAATATTGAATCTATGTGTAATAAAAGAAACAACAGTATTACCAGATTTCATCTTCTTACAAAAATTATAAGTTGACATTACAACCTGAAATTGTGGCTGGTTCTTTGTGATCTGAGATTGATGCTTATTAGAATAAATGACCTGTAAGGGAAGGATAAAAAAGAAAAAAAGGGAGGAAATGCCAGAAAAGAATAATCAAATGGTTTCTTATACAAAAGAAAAAAATTTTAATGTAGAAAGTTATCTGAAATAAACTAGGGGAAATGAAATTAACTAAAGGATTTAATCTGGGATTACAAATCTGAAACCGTTTTCTGCTTCTACAAATGTGTCACATCAATCTGCTAATGCCCCAGTATTATTCATAGATAGGACTTTGTTTTCCATGGTTTTAAAATGCCACATCTATTCTGCCATGGACTAGAATAATTGGCACATTCTAATGCATAAACCGAGGGCTCCGTTTTCCCAGGCTCTCTCCGCCATCACTGCTTTCCTAGTGAGGAGCTTCTTGCCTCGCCCAGTATGGCACTGAGATTACAGTGTTGCCCATCACATTTAGATTCCTGGAATCTAAATGGCCAATTAAATAGCCAGCTGATGGCTGAAAGGCTTGGAGGAGTTTCTACTTTTTATTTTAATTATACTTTTAACCAAAGAATTGTTTTAAAGTTATCTTATATTTGAAAGATGATTTTGCAAAAAAAAAAAAAAATAAACAAAATAAAAAATATACCTTCTGGAGTGATATCAGTTTGGTAAGTCATCATTGATCATTTTCTTGTCCGTAGTGTTCCAGACACATATAGATTGTCTTCCCGTTGTGCATAGCATTACCATAAATGTATCTTTTCCACTTAACTAGCTGTATTCGTATTAAAATGAAGTTTCTTATTTCAATTACCTAGTGTCACTGGGAACTAATTGAACAGCTACAGGAAGAGAAGTTCCTATCTCTGTTGCTTTTGTAGAAAGGGTTCCCTGTGTGGTCAAAGGAAAGCGTTCCTCCGTAACCTAGGCACTTGGCAATGCCAGTGTTTAATTTAAAAGTAGTGGTGAATTGCTCTTTTGAATTTACTCTGAGTAATGCATGTGTTGGAATACAGATGAACCTCCGTTTAATTTTCACAGAAATCAGCACAGTCAACTGTACTGAGTCTTCATGAAGTTAGATAATGAGGCTGGAATGATTTGCATTTAAATTGTAATCCAGCACATGTGTGAGAAAGAAGAGGCGCTTGGCTGACAAGGCTGCTTTAGAGGGAGGGGAGACAGGCGTAGGAGGGCAGGAAAAAGAGCGATTGAACGTCTATTTAGGTTAATGTTCATGTTACAAAGGTGATGGGGGATATTTTGGTAGGTGACGGCAGATGCTTTCCATTTTTAAATGTAGGATTAAAATTGAATTTGCTTCTCTTTAATACTTCCACATATTGAACTTTCCTTGGAAAGTGACTAGTTATACTGAAAATTCAAGGAAAGGGGGAAAAAGATTTCCTCTAAATGCAAAGAGAATAACTTGATTTTAAATACATGTAATATTAGGTTTGATGTATGTAGGCTTAAAATTATAGTGATGAGTAGTCAAACTTAATATGCAATCATTCCTTACAAATATTTTATTCGGTACCACTTAGCTGCCATTACTCACACAAAAATCAGAATTTTGCAGCTGTTCAACTATTCATGGACTTTGTACAGGATACATATGTGTAATGAAAAATGTGTACTGGTTCTTTCTTTTATTGCCACTCAAGATGGGAATAAGATCCCAAAGCCTTTTGGTTAATGCATAGACCATCCTAAACCTGCTATTTTGGGGGAGGCAATTGAGTTCTTTCTCATTTATTAAAAACTATTGTATCATTTTTTTTTCTATGTGATTCAAGTGTATTTATTTTTTAAAAAAAGTTTGTAATTATAAAAAAGAAAACCTCATTTAACTGTATTGCCAAATTTCTTGTTCACTACCCAAGCACACATGCTTTCCTGGCTGAGAGCTGTCCCCTCTTGATACAGCTATGGCACTGTTGTAATTAGTTCTTTCCATTCCAGGAGCATCTCCATTGAAATGGTTCATAGATGATTTAATAAAGAGAAACTGTGTCCTCAGTCAATCCAGAGCAATCTCATATTAAATTCTGAATGGCGTCTATTCCTATCCTATTCTCAGATGTTATTGTGGTCATTATTATTTCATAAGTGTCCATTAAGAGTGTGATTCTTCTCTCACAGGGCCTGAGGGACACTTACTGCTAATTGACTGAAGGGCAAACATGCTCCAGCAGTTCTGAGGGTCTCAGGTCCCTTTTGGTCAGGCACTAAGTCTCTGAGTCATCCAGACTGGTGAGGTGAAAACCCAGCCATGAATGAAAAAGCAAGCTCCAAAATGCTTCCACTGCCCCCAAATATCTCTCCTTCTACAATCCTAGGTTCATGGTGGAGGGCCCTTTAGCAAAAGGCAAAATAACAAGAGAAAAACATACAGATTTACGTTTTCCACAATATGAAAACTTCATCAGGAAATGAAGACCCAAAGAAATTGTTAGACTTAAGTATTTTGATGCTAAGTTTGATGAAGAGTGAGCAACCATGAAGAAATATGATAAAGAGTATGATCTAATGGTAATGAAGTTAGAGAAACAGCACTGCCTGTTTGGATTCCTCCCAGTGTCCTTTTGTCTTCAGAGATAAGGGTGCTTCTTTCAGCCAGATATAGGGAGGACACCTCTTACATGAGCATCTATTTCAGGTGGAGGTCAGAGAATCCTTCCTAGGTTTTATGACCTGCTTCAGGGGAGAAGGACAGGAGGTGAGGGGGTGTCAAAGGGACCTTCCTGCTTCTGCCATTTGTGTCAAATCTTTCAGCTTTAAACATACCCTATATCTAAGTGCCATATTTTGGGAGTAGCATGTCCTGAGGTTCTCCACCACTACAATCCATGGAATCTATAATCAACGTAATTATATGTTAAGCTAACAAGATTTTTAAATAAGCCTGGAATGCAAATTTGTACTGGGAATATGAATACAGATTTTCATTGTTATTACAACCATCTACTGCCCTGGCATAGTTTATTTCCTGAGGAAACATAATAGCTAATGTTGGTGTCTGACAAAAGACCAGGCTGTGTTTAGCCTTCTGGCTGGTTCTCAGTCATACTCTGCCTGACAGATTCCCAAACTCATTTCCCCCTTTGGTGATGTTCGTAAAGGCTGCTTACACATCCAGAGAAAATCAGTCAATGTACTTTGGATTTGTTTAAGCTTAAATCAGCAAAATGTGTAATGTGTTGCTGCTGTTGTTCTTGAAAGTTGTTTAAGGACCAAAAAAATACACACACACACACACACACACACATTTCTTCTGAAGAAACATAATACTTCATTTTACCAGAACTACACATGTGAAATACAGAGGACTTGCCTCTGGCTGTGGAGAGATGTCATCGCTTACTTAGCTTCCTGGCTGCCATTCTGTCCTTAGGGCAATCCACAGGGCTGTGTGTCTCTGGAGAAGAACATCCTGTTGTAGTAAGAAACATTCCTGAGTCGCAGAGCTGGGGCGGTGATCCTGGCTTGACTGCTTTATACATGCCTTCAACTCATTTCACCTGTAAAATGGGCACAATAATGATTTTTTTTACCAGTGTGATTGTGAGACTCAAGTGGGATAATGAATATAAAATACTTAGTTGTACATGCTAATAATAATAAAAGACTACATACTAATAAGTAATTAATTTCCTTGCTAAGGCCGAAATAGGATCCCACATGGAGCCCTTCCATTTGGCTATGGGGAAAATCAGGGATGAGAAATAAAACAGCTTCTTTTATATGGTCATTGCTTTACCATTCTCCCCTTAAGTGAGTTTCCGTAGTAAGAGAAAAATATTAACAGGGTGTGTTGGTTGAATTCTGTGGTTTGTTTAGAAAGCTGCCTGACTGATTAACCTTCCCTTTGGTACATCTCTTTTTAATTTAAACAACAAATTGTTCGTTTGATTCTCAGAACAATTTTACAAGGTAAGGAGATCAGGGATTATTAACTCATGGTATAAAAGAAACTAAGATATTGAGGTTGTGGACTAGTTCATCATTCTGTGATCTTTACTGGATGCTATATCTTAGCAGGCTGGTTGACTGGAGCTATAGTGGCAAATAAGAAAGCAGGGCACATAAATGAACAAGATAACTATAGACTTTAATAGATGATGTTTAGGAAGTAAAGTGGGTACATGACAGAGAGTAACTATGGGAAGGAGGGAACAGGGGTAATTCTCTTGGAGAGGATGGTCAGAAATGGTGTCCCTGAGAGGCAACCATTAAACCAGCTGATCAGGGAACTGGTCATGGCAAGAACTATACAAGGAGGGTTTCAGGAAATGACAAGTACAGAAACCCCCAGGTCGGAAGGAAGTGGCTGAATTAGAACAGAAGAGGTTGGGGAATGAAAGCATAGTGAGCATGACAGAAAGTCGGGGGAGACAGGCTAGACAGGTGGCTGATCCAACAGCATGGGGTCTTATAGACCAGGGGTCGGTAAATTGAATCTCACCTATGAACAGAACCCAGCCTATAGCCTGTCTTTGTATAGCTCACAAGCTGAGAATTTAACAAAAGAACAATAGTATTTCATGACATGATAATTATATGAAATTGGAATTCTAGTATAGTTTTATTGGAATGCAGCTTTCTTTATTTATGTCCACATTGCCTGTAGCTGCTATGAGGATACAAACACATAGTTAAGTAGTAAAAATATTTACAATATTTACTACTTTGCCCTTTGTAGAAAGAGTCTGTGACCTCTAACGCAGATCATAGTAAAACATTCAGATTTTATTCTAAGTTCACAGAATCTGGACCCAAACCAATTTACTTGACATAACAAATTCATAGATTGGGGGTGTCCAGAGACTGGCAATTAAAAAATTTTAAAAAATGCTGCATTTTTTTTTAATTTTTTATTGTTGGCTGTTCAAAACATTACATAGTTCTTGATATATCATATTTCACAATTTGATTCAAGTGGGTTATGAGCTCCCATTTTTACCCCATATACAGATTGCAGAATCACATCAGTTACACATCCATTGATTTACATATTGCCATACTAGTGTCTGTTGTATTCTGCTGCCTTTCCTATCCTCTACTATCCCCCCTCCCCTCCCCTCCCCTCCCCTCCCCTCCCCTCTTCTCTCTCTGCTCCCTCTACTGACATTCGTTTTTCCCCCTTATATTATTTTTCCCCTTCCCCTCACTTCCTCTTGTATGTACTTTTGTATAACTCTGAGGGTCTCCTTCCATTTCCATGCATTTTCCCTTCTCTCTCCCTTTCCCTCCCACCTCTCATCCCTGTTTAATGTTAATCTTCTTCTCATGCTCTTCGACCCTACTCTGTTCTTAGTTACTCTCCTCATATCAAAGAAGACATTTGGCATTTGTTTTTTAGGGATTGGCTAGCTTCACTTAGCATAATCTGCTCTAATGCCATCCATTTCCCTGTAAATTCTACGATTTTGTCATTTTTTAATGCAGAGTAATACTCCATTGTGTATAAATGCCACATTTTTTTTTATCCATTCATCCATTGAAGGGCATCTAGGTTGGTTCCACAGTCTAGCTATTGTGAATTGTGCTGCTATGAACATCGATGTAGCAGTGTCCCTGTAGCATGCTCTTTTTAGGTCTTTAGGGAATAGACCGAGAAGGGGAATAGCTGGGTCAAATGGTGGCTCCATTCCCAGCTTTCCAAGAAATCTCCATACTGCTTTCCAAATTGGCTGCACCAATTTGCAGTCCCACCAGCAATGTACAAGTGTACCCTTTTCCCCACATCCTCGCCAGCACTTGTTGTTGTTTGACTTCATAATGGCTGCCAATCTAACTGGAGTGAGATGGTATCTTAGGGTGGTTTTGATTTGCATTTCTCTGACTGCTAGAGATGGTGAGCATTTTTTCATGTACTTGTTGATTGATTGTATGTCCTCCTCTGAGAAGTGTCTGTTCAGGTCCTTGGCCCATTTGTTGATTGGGTTGTTTGTTCTCTTATTGTCTAATTTTTGGAGTTCTTTGTATACTCTGGATATTAGGGCTCTATCTGAAGTGTGAGGAGTAAAGATTTGTTCCCAGGATGTAGGCTCTCTATTTACCTCTCTTATTGTATCTTTTGCTGAGAAAAAACTTTTTAGTTTGAGTAAGTCCCATTTGTTGATTCTAGTTATTAACTTTTGTGCTATGGGTGTCCTATTGAGGAATTTGGAGCCCGACCCCACAGTATGTAGATCGTAGCCAACTTTTTCTTCTATCAGACGGTGTGTCTCTGATTTGATATCAAGCTCCTTGATCCATTTTGAATTAACTTTTGTGCATGGCGAGAGAAAGGGATTCAGTTTCATTTTGTTGCATATGGATTTCCAGTTTTCCCAGCACCATTTGTTGAAGATGCTATCCTTCCTCCATTGCATGCTTTTAGCCCCTTTATCAAATATAAGGTAGTTGTAGTTTTGTGGATTGGTTTCTGTGTCCTCTATTCTGTACCATTGGTCCACCCGCCTGTTTTGGTACCAGTACCATGCTGTTTTTGTTACTATTGCTCTGTAGTATAGTTTGAAGTCTGCTATCGCTATACCGCCTGATTCACACTTCCTGCTTAGCATTGTTTTTGCTATTCTGGGTCTTTTGTTTTTCCATATGAATTTCATGATTGCTTTCTCTATTTCTACAAGAAATGCCGTTGGGATTTTGATTGGCATTGCATTAAACCTATAGAGAACTTTTGGTAATATCGCCATTTTGATGATGTTAGTTCTGCCTATCCATGAACAGGGTATATTTTTCCATCTTCTAAGATCTTCTTCTATTTCTCTCTTTAGGGTTCTGTAGTTTTCATTGTATAAGTCTTTCACCTCTTTTGTTAGGTTGATTCCCAAGTATTTTATTTTTTTTGAAGATATTGTGAATGGAGTGGTTGTCCTCATTTCCACTTCAGAGGATTTGTCGCTGATATACAGGAATGCCTTTGATTTATGCGTGTTGATTTTATATCCTGCCACTTTGCTGAATTCATTTATTAGCTCTAATAGTTTCTTTGTAGACCCTTTTGGGTCTGCTA